AAAAGCGCAAAAAATCCCCTGTAATATTAGGAACCGGCATTTTACCTCCCTAAACTATAAAAGTAAACAAGTCAGTACAACAACTATTCAAATCGTGCAAATTAACTCCTAAAAGTCAATTCTGACCGACTTCATTGTAGATTTACAAAATTATCCATTGTAATTAAGAAAAAAATAATACCAAAATAAATAATCAGCATGAAATACCCTTAATGCCCCTCAACAAATTTTTATTATTTTACCCAAATGCATCTCATCCTCTCTCCATCCACCTCACCCCCTCTCTCTCTCTCTCCACTCCCTTTCTCTCTGTATACGTACACAACCGCCGTTACCACCATCAGCAACTCATCTTCTCTCTCTAAAATGCCGATTTGTAATTGCCACCGTCGACCTCCAAATGTAACTCATCTTCCCCGGCAACCGCATGTATGTATATATACATATACACATCATCGTCATCATCATGCCCTCTCTATATCACTCTTATATCCATTCCCACTTTTTCTCTCTATTCACTTTCTCTCTCTACATCACCACCACCTCTTCTTCACAACTCTGCCACTCCAACCACCCACCACCATCACTACCACGCACCATTAGATTTTTAAAAGGAAAACTTTTAGATTATTAATTGCGAAAAAAGCTGATGAGACACCAAGAAGGATACAAAAGAGAAAGAGAATTTGTTCTCACTTCTCGCTCTGCTGCACCTCTGGTCCGGCTGTGCCTGCTTCTGTTCCTCAACTTTATAGCTTTTAATTGTGGTGGTTCTCTCTCGTCTCTAATCAAGTTCAATGGCAAAAGAAAAAGAGAAGAACACGTTTGTAGGGGTTGCTTGGAACTATGCTGCAGAGCTCAAATTCCTGATAACAGCTTTTCTCTTCCTCTGTTCCTTGGCCACTGTTGTTCAGTTCCTTCCCTCTCGTTTCTCTCTCTCAGCCTCAGATCTCCACGATTGTCTCTCGCGACCCTCTACACCCACCAACAAGGCGGTGGCCATTGATGTGGATACGGTGGTGGTGAGATTAATTAATTTTGGATTTGGGGTGAATCAGCTATCTGGTTGGTACAATACCAAAAGAGATTGGCCAGTTGAAATCCCTCAAGGTTTTGGATTTGGGGTTGAATTAGCTATCTGGTGAAAAGATTGAAATTGAATTGGACATTAAGAAAAAAATTGAAGTTAATGCAAGTAAAAAATGTTACTTATTTCAAAAATCTTAAATCCTATTGGAAGTGGACAATGCAGAATCGTGTTATTACATTAAAATTGATTTCATCCGTATGTGAAACTTGTGAATAATGATCAAATTTGGTTCCATTTTAAATCATTGTATATTATTATTCAATTAAAATACTCAACAAAATTGGAGTCAAGATTGTCACTAGTTTAGCTTCTGTCATTGGAGATGAACCATAAAATTTTGATTTTGAACTTTTTTTTCCTTTTTCTTTTCTTTGTTTGGTATCTGAGAATCGAATATGGTATATGGTACATCTCTTTTGGTTAATTCACTTCTCTTGATGGATTGCAATTTAAGGGGTGTTTTGAAGCAGAATGCAGTGTGTTGGGAACAATTAGACATAGGAATCTTGTTAAGGTCATAAGTACTAAACAAAATAATAAATTAAAAAGAGTAAACACACACACACACACACACACACATATATATATATATATGTTCCAATAAATATAATATTAGATTTGATAATTTTAAAAAATAAAATTAATAATAAGCATATATATAGAGATGTGTATTGTCCAGTAAAATATACTACATTATATATGATAATATATATATATATATAATACAAAAATACACACACGTATATATATATATATGAGATATATATATCTATATATAATACAGAAAAAACACACACACTCATATATATATATATACATATAACATATATACATATATATGTATATCTTACCTTAAACTTTATTCTTTAAATTTGTCTGAGTGTTTGGTGTAGAGGTGGAGTGGAGCAGATTAGAGGATGGAATAAGGCAAATGAACAAATAGGTTCACTTATCAGCAAATGGCTTCAACGGTAATATTCAAGGGCAATTTCGGAATTAAAAGAAAAGGATAATCAGGTGCTGACCTTGTGGGCCGGAAAGTGGCCGAAATTGAGTGTCAGGATTTAATTTGTATGATTTTTGATAGTTGTAATACTGACTTGTTCATTTTTGTAGTCTAAGAGGTTAAAATGCCAATTTGTAATAACTCAGAGGGGGTTTTTTGCACTTTTGCCTAGATTTGTATTAGAAGAAGATGTACAATTCACAATAACATTAATATGGATATAAATTAGAATTTGATTTTAATTTTTTATTAGTTATTTATTAGAGAAATATGTACAATACACAATAACATTATTATGAATATAAATTATAGTTTAATTTAAATAAAATGATCTAAGATGTTATGAAATAACAAAAATGGAGGTGATATTCGCACTCCACTTTTTAACATTTGCACTACAATCTTAAATGAAATGACAATTCTAACCTTACATCTACAAGTAAATAATTATTACTTTTTAAATAACACAATTGCCCTTTCATATTTTCTCTCCTTATATCTAATCTTTAATATTTTAAGTATCTTTTGATAACACAAATAAAATAAAATAAAATAAAATAAAAATTTAATAATTTTTTTTAAGAGACCAAAAAAAAAAAAAAAAATTTTGTTATGTTAAATAAATTGCCTCTTTTGGCGGAAAAAAAAATAAAAAGTAATCATTTAAAAAATTATCTCCCAACAAAATATATTTATTGAATAAATTATCTCTGTTGTCAAGATTCCAAAAATAAAAAATAATAATAAAAAGTACAAAAGGAAAATGATTAAAAAAAAAATTTATCTTTATTGAATAAATTATCCTCTTTTGAAAAAATTGAAAAAAAAGTCTATTTTGTTAAATAAATATCTCTTTCGATTGTAGCAAAAAAAAAAAAAAAAAAAAAAAGGTTAGTATGAAATAAATTATCCCTTTTGACTGCCAAAAAAAAAATTATTACCTCCAAAAAAAAAAACAAAAAGAAAGGACCAAAAAAATAGTAAAGAATGTAAAAAAATAATAATAATAAAATAAAATAAAGTTGTATAAAAGATAGTTATGATTTTATAAATTAAGGAATTGTGCATTAATGAATTAAAGAACTTTCTTGTCATTTTCTTTAAAAGAAAATGATAAATGTAGTACAATTGGAAAAAAGTGGAGTGCGAATATTTATATTTATATCTATATTATTATTTGTAAATAATAATATAGATATAAATATAGATATAGATATAGATAAATATAGATGTATATCGCAACTTACTTGTCCCTTTTTCAAATACTACAAAACCACTCTATTCTTATTTTTAATTTTTAACATTAATTTTATCAATACCAATCATTATAAAAATAAAAGGTAATTATAAAAAATAATAAAAATATATATATATATCGAAGTACTTTCAAACCTGGTCCTTAGGATATTCCGCTAAAGCAATGAAAATCAAGAAACGAAGATAATTGGTGGTTTCTTTTCAATTTATAATATTAAATTTATCAAATATATTAATTAATTTTCTTTGCAGTGAGAGAATTTTTTTCTTTTCCTTTTCTTTTAATATTTTCAAATAAAGGGACTTTTACACCCGCGGATTAAATCATATTTGTGTAGTGAATTTACAGAATGAATTCGGAAAGGATTTTTCCGGTATGCGGACGATCTTCTATTCTTTTTGGGTTAATTTGATTTGTTAAAGAGGCCTGTTTGGCATTACATGGACATGGAACCACTAAATTTGTTTCACATACCATTTGAACTTGAGTCTATTTTGCTATCTAAAAAATGTACATTTTAGTTTGTTTCATCACAATCATCATGTCATTTTAGTATTCCAAAGTTTAAATACGTTTTTGCACTTTAACTGCAAGGAACACCAAAGGGAATGGTTTCATTTTGTTTTTTAATCTTGTCTCTACGGTAAATACTAATTCTGTATATCGAGCTTGAAATTGACAAAGTCAAATTTCAAAGAATAAAAAAAATATTTAGAATTTTATTTATTTATTTATTTGTAAGAAGAGAGTAATTTTATAATATTTGAAAAGAATAATCTAACATTTAACACTTCTTACCTTGTTAAAAAAAAAATTATTCCATTGAACTACACAACCTTTATAATATCGCATCATATAAGGGCCTTTATGATATTTTATTTTATTTATGTACTTGACTTGAACTTGATTTGTAGTCAACTAACGTAGGGATGAGTTGGGGTGGTGACATTAAGTCAAACAAACCTCCGAAGAGGTTGATGGAACTTTACTAACAGAGTAACAGAGGCAAACCTCAAAATTGTCAGAGTAATTTACCCTTTTGTATCTTACAAGTGCTCCGAATACAGTAAAAACTTTGAGACAAAGACGATGTCTAATTACACTGCATAGAACGCTCCCCATAAAACATTTTTTTTTGGTCATTTTCCTTTGGAGGAATTCTACAATACCTGGTGATATTTTGAATCATGATACCACTCTCAATCAAAATTTCTTATGTATTTTGAAACCTTTCACTTCTCTATTTACCAAAAAAAAAACTAGAACGAACTTTGATTGAGAGTGATATCACATGTCAAAATAACCAGGAGGTATGTGTAGAATTTCTCTGTTCTCACAATAACATATCACAAGGAAATGCGCGCTAGGAGTACCCACAACTATAAAAAAAATTTTTTTTTTTTTTTTTTACTATACTACTTTCAGCCCAGTCCAAAAAAAAAAAAAAAAAAAAAAAATTAGCCCACCCAAAATTAGCCCACCCCAATTAGCAATCCTGGATCCGCCCTCGCGGGTAGACATACTTTTCGACTTGCACTGCATCAATCTGGTGACTATGCATCAAGTTATGGTATCAATCTGCCAACAAAGCTAGAAGAAAGCCAAAGAAAAAGACCATGTTATTATTGATTGATAAGTACACTTTATTAAACATACATATTATAGTAGACAAGAAGATAGAAAGGCACACTAGTACTTCGAGACAACGGGAAACAATTCACCTAATCATAGCAACCCTAATGGTTCACCACCAAGTTTAATTTTAGGCATTGATTTTAGTGGCATCAAGAGACAGTAGCTTATGATCACGTTCAAGCATGGTCATGTCATCTTCAAGCATATTGACCCATGCTTCTATTCCCTCCCCACAACTAGTACTCATCAATATTACCACATTCTTAAAAGGCAAGGTTGTGGTGCACACCCAAACTGGCTTACCCCAACCATAGTCCACTTCATATACAGGAAATCTCCACCAACTACTAAAATTACAGTACTCTACCTCTCCATTAGAGAAATTTTCTGTTGCCCTCTTGAGGTAATCCAAGTACCCATCTCCAATTTGTAGGAACTTCACATAATCGCTGTCGATCTCCCTTATTGCGCTCCTCAGCTTGCTCAAAAGATCACCAAATACTATCTCACCCTCACACATTGATATTGCAGTCGCGATCCTCCATATGTTTCCCATGGCGTGGTCCGGGAGAGGTGGATTCATTCTGCTTCTCAAGTTCACTGCATGGTTTGCAACAAATATCTTCTTGGGAGCTAACTTACTTTTAGCCACCTCTATGAAATGGCTCCATATGAAAGCTGAGACAGCCTCGATACGAGTGGGATCCTTCACCTGTGATCCAAAGGCCGAGGACGCGGCCTCTTTGAGTACAGCCAACTTCTTTTTATCGAACACAAACCTTCTTGTCACTATCTTTTCTGTTGTGATGCCTAAGGTTGGCATAAATCCTGATAAGTCTTTTGGTGGGAAGTGAAGTGCCAAATCAAAACTAGGGGTTACATTTTTGATAGCCCCACGAGCTGTGGCAGCCCATGCATTGGTGAAGGTGACTAGAGATGATCCATCGGCTATGTTGTGTGAAATACACAAGCCGATCGCTAAACTTCCACAATCAAAGAAGTTGATTTGGATGGCTAGGACTGCCTCCCTTCCCATAGCAGCGCTGGTGCCATAAGGTTCAATTGGGAGGTATTGTTTTAGGTTTTCAATATTAGGATTTTCGATAACATGTGAGAGTTGAGCATGAACTTGGGCTTCAACATACTCAACTCCAGCATCATTGCAATCGATACAAGCATCATTTTTTATCCTTCCGGCTAAAGGGTAAAAGCGAGTTAGGGTATCTGACAAGGATTGTTTCAGTAATTGAGATTTTTGGGCACGATCAAAATCGTATCCCAAATCAGGATGATAGAAGAAAATGAGAGGAATATAAACTGGTGGGGCAATTTGGTCTAGGAATGAAAGCTTGTGGTTCCTGAGGTTTTGGGGTGTTGGAGATGATGGTTTAATCATCTCTCTAGAGATCACCTCAACGTGACTCAAAACCATGTTGCCTTTTGCTACCTCTAGCAAACACAAATTAAGAAATTAAGTTGACGTTTGTTTCTAAGTATGCAAATTTCGAAGGAGAGTACAACCTTCTTAAATAGTGTTGGAGAATACGAAGAAAGTGCAAAAATATGCCCTAAACTATCACTTATTTAAAAATAACCTTCTTGAATTACAAAAAGCCCCCTGAACAATAAAAAAAAATATGAAAATGAGGCCTATGTTAACGAACGGTTCCGGATAATGAAAAAGACAAATTTTTTCTTTCTCATAAAAGTTAAAAAATATATTTCATAAATAAATAAATAAATAAATAAATATATATATATATATATATATATATATAACTCATCACACATTACATATATATATATATACACACTAAATATCTTTTTCTCTGAGAAATTATCACATTGTCCCTTGATAATCATAGTTGATCGACACAAAAGCAAATGTGCCAATTTTATGCCAGTTTTATTCAATTAGTGATTGGTTGGAACCGGGACCATGTAAAATTTCTCCTTCCGTTCCGTGGATCGCCACATCCCCCCCCACCCAATTACCACGGCCTTCTCTACAGTCGTCGCCCCCCATTGTATCTCAATTTCACTCCACTCTCTCTCTCACACAAAAGTCTTTCTATATATGGCCTATCCTTTACCATAGTTATCACCCCCAAAAAGATTATCCGTCTCTCTCAAGTTCTCTTTATTTGCATGTCAGATTTCAATTACCCAGACTCCCCAACTTCATTCCGCCACAACATTAAATCAATCAAATATCAACCAAACAAATTATCAGTTAATTAAAACTTATAATTGAACACAACTAACAAATCCAAATTGACACAACTTGCGCCACCTAATCGAACAAATCATAAGGCTGTCATTATCTCATAGTGGCATTGAGATTACCAACGTAAGGCAACACTAACGGCACCGATGTGCGCTCCATTTCTGGTGGCGACGCCATCACCGCCTCTGTTTGATGTTGCGCTGATGGTGGTGGAGCGCCGGTCACCATTATTATATGAATCATGATATTCAAGCCTACTAGTTAGGCCTATTTGTCAAAGTAAAATAATTAAGGCCATTGATGGCCGAAAGTGGAACCCAATTTTAGGCCCCGACTACTTCAGGCCATCAATGGTCTTAATTATTTCACTTTGACAAATAGGCATAAGTATAATTTTCCTTATCGTATTACGCGATTGAAAAATAAAATAAAAAAATGTTTCCAACCAACAATATGCAAATGCTGGGATTAGGGTTTGTACGTGATAATATTGATTTTTTGCTTTTCATATTAGACTATAGGAGGGAAGAAGTAGAAGTGAACAACGAATTGGCTAAGTGAAATTGATTTGGCAATTCATAGATTTGGGTAAGTCAAGACAAGAAGAAAAAAAAATTTTGATCACGTGAGTTTAATATGGTTTTAAGGTCATTTTCATCATTTGTCAAAGTATGGTAGGGGGTTTTACACAAAAATCGTGATATATAGTTTAGGGTGATAATTACCAAAAAAAAAAAAAAAAAAATCAAGGGTAATAGTTGTGAATTGGAGTACAATTCAAAGGGATTTTCTTGTACTAATAGTGAGTAGCGCAGCTCGAACGATGTTAGTTTATTAAGTTATGAATCAATACTCTAATGATCTAGAGAGGGTGAATAGGTTAACTTACCTAATTTTTGTGATTGAATTAATTTACCCAAAATGATGATCAATTAAACATCCTCATCCAAAAAAAAAAACTATAAAACAAAACAAGTAAAGGAGAGTTTAAGAGATGACACCAGTTTTTAGCGAGGAAACCCTGCCTTCGACTGAGAAAAACCTCAAAGACTGTCGTGTGAGATATATATTTTGTAATTAGCTAATTTTCTTGTCAAAATAAGCCAACCGAGTTGTAATTTTTTGGTTCAAAATTTCAAGATTGAAGATCGGATGTAAATTTGAAGAAGTTCAAGTGTTCATACTTTGATACACTCTGAGATGATGAGAACAATGCTTTAAGAAGTTTTGTGAGTGAGAGAGAGAACACTTTAGAAGTTTTTAGGGAGAAATCACATTTTGCCCAACTTGAACTGGTTCAAGAATTCAGCGAACAGGTTCAAAATCTGAAGATTTATAAACAATTCAAGACTGGCCATCTTGAACCGGTTTAAAGAATATTGAACCAGCTCAAGAATCAAAAGGAGTCTTCGAAATAAGCACTGGCCATCTTGAATTGGTTTAAGGCTAGTAGATCAGTTTGGTAACTTTGGTTTCTTTATCCGCTTTGATTCCTTTTTGGTCCAGACTTCCTTATAAAAACCTATGCACAAATTCTACTTATTTTACAAGTATTCTTAGGTCTTCAAAACTTCTATATAATGCCTCTTTCATTCATTATTAATGTATGGCTTTAGGAACATAAAATCATTATTTTGAGAAGCCTTTAGAGAGATATATTTGAGAAACATTTAGAGAGAGATGTTTTAGAAAATCAAATCTGATTATTCTGAATTTATTTTTGAGAGCACACACGGATATACATGAGTGATTTAGTTGTATTGTTCTATATAATTCTCAAAATTGGAGCTTAATTCAAAATTCAAAGATTCCGAAAGAGCAAATTTATTTCTTTTACATCAAAGTTCAAATCTTGAAAAAAAGGGGTGAAGCGATCACACTTTGAAAGGGTCAAAGTATTCAAGGAGTCTTGTTTGATCTACCGGCAATCCTTTTACAGAGATCAAGAGTAAGCTTGAAGTTAAGAACTGTTGGACGGGACATCGCAAAGCCTGAAGAATGTCAATGATTGGTGTTTGGTAGAACGATAGGGTGTAAGCCTGAGTTAAAGTCCATTGTACTTTATTTTCAACATAGTGGATCGGTTTACTTTGGACTGCACAGTCCACGAGGTTTTTCCCACAACAATTAATCTATTTTACCAATTGGGGTTTTCTCACTCAAAATCCTTGTGTAATCTCTCTAACTCTACTTGCTTTACTTTTCAGTATTTATCTTTACGATTGTGGATGTTTAAATTGATCATATTGCTTAGGTAATTTAATCAATCACAAAAATTGGGCAAGTTGACCTAATAATTTCATCTAGATCATTAAAGAAGTTAATCACAATTAAATCAACTAATAGCTTCCGCAACCCGCATTAAACTCACTTGTCGTTTTGAGCGAAATAATCCACTAGTATCGAAACAATGTACAATGAACTCTAACTTGGGCTCACACTTTTTTACTCTACTAAAAACCAATTGTTGAATGATTTTGACTTTGTAACTCTCCCGTTCAACAAAAATTTGTTAGAATTTGTGATTGAAAATTGTTTCATTAGTCATCAACAAATGCATTGGACTGACAAGTGTGATCACTGGTTGGTTGTGGGATAAAAAGATGCAACTCGAAACCAATAGACATAACATATTCGCAACCTATTGTAGTGGGTGTATCTGGTGATGAACATACACATATAAATGGTTGTGTCTAGTGATGAAGAAACACATATAAATGTTATGGCCATTGATAAAGATGCACATATAAATGGTTATGTCTAATCATAAAGAGACACACCCAATCTGAAAAAGCACTTCTATTTGGGCTGCTATTTTCAATTCGTTCAATTCTCTGATTTATTCTTTCCCTCTTTAGGCTTGAACCCAACCCAAGTGGGTTCAAGTCATAGGTCAAGTGGTTCGAGTCACTTAGATCCTTATATAATTTCATCGAGCCATATCAAAACTGGTCCGAACCATTTGGTTCGGATTGCACCCAATTCAATATTTATATAGTATAGATGTATTTTTTAGTTCGAAAAAGTATTACACAGAGTAAGTTCGCCGTATCCACAAGTTTGTAATGCTACTATTGGTAGATGTAGACCGTTGTATCTTGTAAGACAAGCGTCGCAAAGTCCATCAGCACCATGCAGGGTGTAAATTGTCTTAAGGACATAGTATCCAATACTAGCATCGGTCCAGGTTCTTTATTTATTATTATTATTTTATTACTTTAATTTTTATGTTTAATTAATATCGAGTTGCATATTTAATTAATTATTTTTTAGCATATTATTAATTATCTCATTACACATTAGTATAAGGTTAGTTATATCTTAAATGGCATTTGAAGCGTATATTTTATCAACAATTATAAGACAATTTACTCCTTGCGTAGATTTTATTATATGCTTCAATTTAAGATATAAACAAGAGAGATTATACTAATAATTAAGATATCATAAAATTTTATTATTTACATTATTATATGATACTATGCTAAATATTGACGTGTTCAATATTATGTGAAATTGAAGCATGTTATATAAGTAGATTATTGATTTATTTATATAATTCAATATTGTTTGAGTTACTTTTGTAATATTATATTTTGTAGTATATTATATTTGTGCGAATTAGGAGTAGAAAAAATCACTTCTTTACTTTTATCAATGATTGTATAAGATACTGTTATGTATATCCGCTACGAAACAAAGACGAAACCTTAGAAATATTTAAATATTACAAAATTGAGGTTAATGATCAACTTGGCAAAAAGATCAAGATGTTAAGAAATGATAGAGGTGGTGAATACAAAACACCATGTGTTGATATTTGTTCAGAACGTTGTATCATTTATCAAACTACCGCTCCTTATACACCTCAACAGAATGGTGTTGCTGAATGCAAAAACCATACATTAAAATAAATGATGAATGTTATGTTGATAAGTTCTAATTTAACTCAGAATTTGTGGGGGAAAGATTTGTTTTCCGCAAATTATGTTCTCAATAAAATATCTCAAAAAATAACTAATGTGACACCATATGAATTATGGAAAGGTCGAAAACTTTTATATAAATTCTTAGAAGTGTGGGGGTGTCTAGCTAAGGTTGCAGGTCTTACTCGTATGAAAGTTAAAGTGTAACCTAAAATGTGGCGACTTTGTAGGTGGGTGCGCCATGGGCTGGTGCAAGAGACACTGATAAGCTACCATATTGAGCGAGCTACAGGCAGGGACAGAGCTAGTGTGTGCCCG